GTGTCTGAGTCAGACCATGGTAAAATGAGGTCATAAACAGGACTGGGTGGACACAAAGTTCACTGGGTGACAGCATCTCTGAGTGTGTTTAGAATCTCTAGGGCATGCCCTTTACTGACCCAGTCAAAGTCTTGACTTTTTGTTGTGATTCCCTATACATATATACAGCCGTGGAAAAAATTAAGAGACCTCAGCACAATTTTTGTTTCACTCATTTTTCAATTTATGGGTATTTATGTATGTAGTTATTTGCAAACTGCAGCCTGGTTCTTCTGTTTCTCATTAATGAAGGGCTTCTTCCTTGCTTTATTGTACTTCAGTCCTGTTTTTAAGAGCCCGATATGAACTGTCCTAGCAGTGCCCTTCACACCTGAACTTAATGTTTCCCATTACTTGAAGTCACCCTGCGATTTACAAGAAACTGTCGAATTAGTTAACGATCATCTCTGGCATTAAAAAGTCGCTTCTGCCCTTTACCTGGTTTTTGGTTGTTCCCAGTGTCTCCTGCTTCACCTTATTCTTGTGTACAGCTGTCTAAGAGATTTTGAAACAGGAAACATCCAGCTGCTCATCGTAGCCTTCTGCCAGAACTATGATTGTACCAGCATTTAAAAATGCAGAATTGTTTAAAAATATAGAGTGGTCTCTGAATTTTTCCATGGTGCGCTATATATACACTGCTCAAAAAAATTAAAGAAACGCTTTGAAAACACATCAGATCTCAATGGGGGAAAATCATGCTGTATATCTATACTGATATGGACTGGGTAATGTGTTAGGAACGAAAGGATGCCACATCGTTTGATGGAAATGAAAATGATAAACCTACAGAGGGCTGAATTCAAAGACACCCCAAATATCAAAGTGAAAAAATGATCCGGTAGGCTGGTTCATTTTGCATGAAGAAAGAACAGTATGTTGAAATATTGAAGCAGCATCTCAAGACATCAGCCAGGAAGTTAAAGGTTGGGCGCAAATGGGTCTTCCAAATGGACAATGACCCTAAGCATACTGCAAAATTGGTTACAGAGTGGCTTAAGGACAACAAAGTCAATGTTTTGGAGTGGCCATCACAAAGCTCTGATCTTAATCCCGTAGAAAATTTGTGGTCAGAGCTGAAAAGACGTGTGAGAGCAAGGCGACCTAGAAGCCTGACTCAATTACACCAGTTCTGTCAGGAGGAATGGGCCAAAATCCCATTAAACTGTTGTGAGAAGCTTGTGAAAGGATACCCAAAGCGTTTGCGTCAAGTCATTCAGTTTAAAGGCAATTCTACCAAATACTAAGCAAATGTATGTAAACTTTTGACTTTGCAGAAAGTAATAAAAAAATCTCTAAAAAATTCTCACACATTATTTTGACATTTAGCAAATAGAAATTATTTTGGGAATCCGAACAGGCCTAAAACTGAAAGGGTTTTGTATGATTTAATATCAGACAGTAAGAAAAAAAAAGTTATATGTCTTTTTATACAGTGTATGTAAACTTTTGGTTTCAACTGTATATGGCAGCTCAGGAAAAATGATGAACAAAGGAAAATGTATTTTGAATGGTAGGTTCAGCTTCAAAACTCCGTCAGATGGGTCCATCGACAATGAAGTTACTGTCAATGTGAAATGAGTTACCACCGAATCTAGTCTTAAATACTATACCAAGCTGCGGCTCTTCTTGGAACGACAGACGCATTTTCATATTATGATAATACTTTCGTAAATATAAATAATTTATTTATGGGTTAATATTATTATTTTTCATTTAGGTATTTCTTTAGCTATATGTGAATGAGGCAGTTTGTGATGTCTTAACTGCAAAATTTACATCTTCCTCAAAGTCATTCTCTACGAGAGTATGTCTCCGGTCAAATGGTATGCTTTCCGGAGCTTTCTCCAGATTGGATGTAGGCTTATTAAGTTTATTGGGATTCCTAGTTCTTTAATATACTTTTCGTAGTAAATCGTTAGCACGCCTTCCCAGATCTTCGTAAAATTATTATATTTTCTCCGATGTACATATTATAGCCAGCTGATTTTGGAGTGGTGAGGACATTTTGCACTGCTCGGTCAGTTACAAGTAGTGAAGGGCAGAGAACTGCAGAGCCAGAAGGTGGGGCAGAGAGAGGGTGATATTAGTCACCTTTGTGCTGTTACGCGTCCGAGTGATTTATAACTGAACGAACTTGGGTGAGGGTGAAGACTATCGCTACACAACTGAACAATATTGTGATATTAGTCACCTTTGCGCTGTTACACGTTTTTTGTAAGTACTTGAAGTTCTGTTTTTGTGTTAAATGCATATATACCGATATCGCATTAAAAGTCGTATCTCAAACCCTCTTCTCTATCCATTGGGGTTCTTTGTAAATCTTGGGTCAGACATTTAGGATAAAATGGCTTTTTGCTTTAAAAAGGTTGCCGACCTCTGATGTATACTTAGTTATATGACTAAGTAATATGTAATATTTTTCAGGTCAACGTGCCGATCTGTTGTTGAGCTTGAGTTTTTCTTAAGTGATGAAGGGTTTCTGATGACCTTTGGACAATCTTTGTTGTTTATTTTTGGTAATTGTTTTCCAATAACAAATGCACACATTTGTGATTAATTTGTGATTAGCTATTGTGAGAGAAAAATCCAAGTGTAATACAAAAGTAGTAAATGTTATGTATATGTATAATCTCCTAGCAATAGAGGAATGCACTAGGCCAGTAGGAACCATGTGTTCAAGGTCAGATGATAGCATCAGGCCCTAGTCAAGAAATAGCGAGCACTGAAACACCGGAACAAACCATATATGGAAAAACAGTAGAACGCAGGGATAAAAAGAATTTTAAGAAGAGCCTCAGGGGAGAACTCCTGAGGTATCTCCCGGGCCCGTGCTGTAAGATACCACAATAAACCAAAGGTTGAAAAGACTTCACGCTGTCCTGAGTCCTACATCGTGAAATTTCCACAACACTATGAACAGTTATGCGATTAATCACGATTAAATATTTTTATCTATTGACAGCCCTAGTATATATATAAATATATATGTGTGTATATATAGATTTACCATATTTTTCCACAGGCATCTATTAACTGCAGTAACAGAGAGCTCACAGAGGTCCCCACACAGATCTGGAACAACACAATCATATTGGATCTCTCACAAAACCATTTAAACCTGACCGACCCCAAGAACCTGAGAGCACTGGGACGTTTTCGCCATTTGCTTCTGCTCAATCTTTCGGGAAACTACCTTCCTGTACTGGAAAAAGACACATTAGCTGGCTTCTCACAGCTTCTTGTCCTCGACCTCAGCGGGTGCCAGCTGACTGACATCAAGCCAGGTGCTTTGCAGGGTTTTCCCAGGCTGAAAAGACTGCTTCTGGGAAACAACAGAGTGCAAGACAACAGTCAGCAGAGAGTCCCATCCAGTTGGCTAGAGGGAGTACGCAGTGTTCTGGCATCCAGAAATATATCCGAAGGTGTGTTTTTCCGCATTCAACCTCTTTGTTTTTCAAAATGTACAAACAATATATATATCGTCTGGGTCCTCCCAGCTAATGCAAAATCCCTTTTCCTGTCAGGGCCTATGGATGAAGGATTAATGGAAAGAATTCAAAGGAAATTGCTAACAGAAGGACACATCAGCAGTTACAATGGCTCATTAAATGGTATGGTATGCTTAAGGGAGAATGTTTCCATCTTTATGTAGTTAACTTATCATTTAGTTTATAGCAACTATGACTTCCTCCTTATAGTCAAGAAACTGTTTGTGGTCAGGCATATTTCCTTCTGTTTCTCTATGGAAAGAACTGATCACATGGGGAATAAACCGCCTAACTGGCTTCAACCTTGACAGTATCTTCTACAGGCCCTTCTGCAGAATCCCAGCAGACCAGTGGCTGGCCTTACCTGGTAGCTGCCATGGGAACAATTGTGGCCATCTCTGTTTTCATCATACTGCTGGTCAAGTGCAAGCTCTTCCAGCAGTACCTGGCCAGCTACCAGCATGCCTTGCTCTCAGAGATGGATACGGCCAGCCATTGCGACCGTGCATCGTTGGATGTAGGTGTCTCAGGGCAAGGCATGGCCAGCCGAGGCTCTGGTCCGGGCCTCCCCAGCGAGCTTGATGACGATGATGGCTTCATCGAAGATAATTATATCCAGGCCAGTGAGAGAGAGAGGGCGGAGCGGGAGGCCATCGAGGTTGAGGATGAGTTTGAAGATGATGACATTCAGTTCTCCATCAGCTAAAGAGACAACTGGGCTACTTGTTGTTTTCATGATTATTACTTACTGTAACAATTTTATACCCATTGACACTCCACTCACAAGGCATTACTGCTTGACAAATGACAAACACTGACTATGCACAGTGGACCAATAGAGCACTACTTTAGCCTCCACTGAATGAAGTGGAAATTATGCCTGAATCAAAGAAATACACATAACATCCGTTTGACAAACTCCAAATTAAAGTGTACCAATGCAGTGTGTAAATGTTTTATATGAATTTATCTAACTTTTTTGTATTTCTAAATTAAATTGCAGATTGTGCCTTTGTTACTTTAAAATACCTAGCTATATTTTTCACGCTACAAAATGTAAAAATCAATAAAAACTCCACACCTAGATTCTGTCTGAATTCCTTAATTATGGTAAAATGGGAATGTAAACAAGTTTATTATAATCAGTTCTACTAACATGGGTGTCTATTTTTAGCCCTTCTGTTTTTACTTGTTCTGACACAAAAGTTTTCTTTTTCACAGCAAATTCTTAATATGTTTTAATTAAAGGTATTTTCAGTATTCAAAGAGTTGATCAGACTTATGTTAGGATCTAAATTGGGATGCAATCAAAGATCCATGTATGAGAGGTGAATGTCAGCAGATTAAAGAAAATTTTTGCTGTTGATTTGGACAGAATAAAGACACACGTTATATCAGCTGCATACATCAGTTAACATACCATGAGAACGGGTAGCTTCTAGATGCATTCTACTGAGATTGCATGCAAGCAACGCAGGAACACGTTGATTTATTCACAATGTTGCATGTGGCATTGACATATACATTCAATGACACAATTTCATATGTTCTCTGAGTGCTCGTACATGCAGCATGGCACTTTTGTTTGTGGGTATTCCATTCGTTATGGTTTGTTGCGTTTGAGATACCCAGTGGAATGTCACAGTGGACCCTGAAGTACCCATTGTCCTGTTAGGGACCAACAGCTGACTCTTGGACAATGGACACACTGTTGAAATGTAGCGGGGGGGTGGCAGTGTTCCCCAGCACAGACTTGCTCTCCCATCGACTGTCTGCGTGACTCAAGCAGATTACCCTGAAGAGGGCACCATTCCAGCTGACCCGACAGAGACGGGATTCAGGCGAGAAAGCACGGCTTCTGGGGGCAAGTGACAGATGACAGCTTTTTGCTAAACAGCCTACATTCTACTGTAGGAATTACACTGAGCCCCTGGAGGCTGTGTTTCTGTACTCTTTCATTTTGATTTGAAGTATTAAGTAGGCGACATGACAGCAACATGCCAGCACTGAAGACTGTTTAATGGTCTTTGTAGATGCATCATTATATAAAATAAAGATGAAGCTGCTGTCTCATCACCACCCCACTTATTGATAACATGCTAAGTATCCTCTGCTTCAGGGTTATTCAACTCACGGTCCTCGAGGTCCGAGCACTGCTGGTTTTCCAGCCTTCCTTTACCTGTCAGTCAGGTGTGAAGCCTCTGACCAATCAGAATCAGTCATTATTAAACAACTACCTGGGAGAACTGAAAACACGGCCTGGATTAGGAATCGAGGTCCAGAGTTGAAGAACCCTGCTCTACTTGCTCCCCAGTTAGGAATGTGTGCAACCTGGAAAGATGCAGGAACCAGGCTGATTGATGTTGCTCAGACTCCCTTTGACCTGTCAGTGTGGAAGTGTCCTTCAGATGAGGTTGGCCATGCTGGAGGTGGTCTCCTGCTGTCTTTCTCTCATCTGGCCAGAGATGGTGAAGACCCGGGGAGCCCTGCCCTGTAGCCTCTGCCTGGACGTCTGCCTCCGCAGGAGTGTGGCAGATAAGTAGTATCCAGCCACAGCCAGCACTGTGACCCCCCCCAAGACCAGCAGCACCACCCCAGACAGGAACATATCGTTGTGGTGCGGCTGGGCGCGGCTGAACCCACTGGCCAGCGCCAGGTGGAGCAACACCAGGCCACAGATGAGAAGTGCCAGGCCAGTGAGCAGCACCACCAGGACATCTGACAGGCCGCCGCTTTTCAGGAGCTCAATCCGACGCCAACTTCGCACACAGTTCATGTCCTGCACTGCAGAGCTTAGCAGCTGCTTCAGGAGCACAGCCAGGGAAAGCAGGCAGAGTGCTGTCCCTGCACCCAGGCGCCACTCCCCGGCTGGGCTGGTGGTGCTGGACAGCAGGCCCACCCCACCCAAGCCACAGCCCAGAATCAGGCCCACCGACAGGCAGTAGCACAGCAGTGACTTGCGAGGCTCTCTGAACCACCAGAGCTCCACCTGCTCCTCCAGGATGTTCCTCTGGATATGGGCGGGGTTGGGCCGGCGCCATGGGCGCCGCAGAGCTCGTGGGAGAGCCTCCATCTCCGGCATGGTTCCCTGTGGGTCCACAGCCACCTGCTGGTTGAGAGCAACTGGCTGAAAACCCTTCAGTCTCAAAGCTTTTTTCCATCCATCCATGAGTCTTGCGTGTTAATGACCAAGGTCTAAGTTATTGTGCTGCTGTTTTGCCTAATTTTTTTCCAGTTAATTAAGTAGTTCTTAACCTATGTCCTTCACCTGAACTGACCATCGCACTAACTAGTCTAGCCTTCTTTCACTCACAAGTTAATTAGCAGTCCAAAGAGAGCTGAATAACCTGCACACTCTACAAATCACCGCAGGGATCAGGGCTCGTATTCACAAAGCATCTTAAGGCTTATAAGTAGCTCCTAACTTGCCTATTTTTGACTATGAGCAATTCACAAAGCCCGTTAGTGCTAAAAGTAGCACCTAATTCTGGGAGAAGTAAAATGTACTTCAGAGGACTCCTAAGTCAATAAGACCAATTCACAAACAGTTGCAGAATGGCTGCTGTTAATCCATGTTGCAATGTCTTGGAAACATTAAACAAACACTGAATTAATTAAAGGATCTCGCCTCATTCGGGAGGGAATAATGACTTTTGTGGAGCTTGTGAGGGATGCAATAACATCTCTAACAAACCAAAACAACCCAGTCATATACAGTGGAAACCACTTATAGTAATCATTATATCCGATTTTTTTTCTTTTTTTCCTTTTCTTTATGTCTCAGGCACATTAACATCTGACTGACATTTGTATTTATTACATGAATATAAGGTAATAAAATGGACAATGTCGATATTTACTGAATTTTATTGAATTGTTCAAAATACAGTATGGCTGTTTCAAACACTTCAAATTACTGAACTGTGAGTAATTCAAATACATTATAATACAGTACTAAACATAAAATACACCTTATTATAGTTTCACTTCTGCATCTAGTTGGCTCAGTTTTGGCAGTTTATGATAAGCTTTCATGAGTCTATATTTGTTATTGAAAGAAAATAACTTTCTTTTAGCCTCAGGTAGCTGGCTAGAAAAACACAGGTAACTGCAAGGCAAGGTAGGGCAATCAAAGTAAAGTATAAATAAATAAATAAATAAATGTGGTTTTAATTTTTTACATGTTGTCATGTTTTAAAAGACCAAAAATGAACACTGTAAGTGGACTACTTGATTACTATAAGCAAATTATTTAAACAGTATTTGTACAGGAATGATTCTGTCCCAAGCTTTTTGATCCATATAAGCAGCTGGTCACTATAATAAGGATCACTATAAGCAGTTTCCACTGTGTTTGTATTTATGGGATGTTACACGGATATTTTCACCAGCACATACTGGCCCCTCATCAACCAATCCCTGTGCTTATTGCAGGCAAGCTCATGCATGAGAATGACGTCAGCCATAGCAAGTCTTACTCTTACCTTAGGAGTTGGCTCTTTTCCTAGCTAAAGGTTGTTCTCAGCCACTTTCTGAATTGGTTTTAGGAAAAAACTCAATTAAAAACTCAGCGTGATTTAGGAGTACTCTTAGTGGTTAGAAAATATGCTTTGTGAACACGGGCCCAGAGTTCTGGCATGTTTTGGTGCACTGAAAAAAACACGTACAAAGAGAATGATGATTTAGTCAGTAACTTGAATTTTATTGCATAGAGCGATACCTAAGATTTCTTGCGGTTTGCTATGCTGAAATCCTACCGAGGATCCCAAATTAATGTTCTTCAAAGAAATTATTAAACACAGGTTCTCTAAAATGGACTCTTGACCCAATGTCATTGTATTCAGGTCAAACAACAACTGACAAGTGTTGAAAAGCAACAGAAGCCTTGAGTTTCTTTTATCAAGCTTGAGGATATTTCAATACCTCCAATAAATCTGCTGTTAAGTAATTTTAGCAGTAAAATACCACACACCCTTTAGTTTTATTCAATTGTGTGTTTGGGGGCATCTTGTTGGTTTCAATTTGCCTGGTTTTGAAGAGAAACATTATTCATTCGCCTTTCTGTCTGAGCCACTGACAGATTTGGTAGTCCAGCCGAGAATGTTCATCTGTTTTGTTAAAATATTCTTTTTCAGTTTTCCTACTTACATTAATTCCCATCCCATCCATTACAAGGTCACACTGAACCTGAAGCTAATCCCAGGAAACAGGGTGAAAGGAAATATTCTAATCAGTGCCAGTCTGACACAGGGAACACGAACTATGGGTGATTTCAGAGGTGGAGATTTCAGGTCCAGAGAGTACAAATCCAGACCAAGATTTTGTTTCAACCAACCAGTTGAGTATCCTGTGACTATGACTCTTTATACTCAATTGGTTGGTTGAAATCTTCGTCTGGATTTGTACTCTCTGGACCTGAAATCTCCACCTCTGGGTAAATTAGAATCACCAATTTAGCATTTGTCTAAACACAGGTTTTTATACTGTGGGAGGAAATTTATTACAGGAAAACATAGAAGGAACACCAGGGGTGTAAAGTAACCATCTATAAAAGCTCTCTTCCCTGTAAATTGGTATTGATTTATTTTTAGAATTTGAATATTATTACGTAAATTTAAAGCTGGTGAAATTAATGTAACAGCTACTGATTTAATTAGTTCACGTTCTCAACTTCTTCTGCCTCCATCAACAGCTGTCACAGCAGGTTGGTTGACTAAAAAGTTAATTTATTTTTATTTATTTTATTTACCTTTATTTAACCAGGCAAGACAGATTAAGAACAAATTACTAATAATCACGGAGCTCATGGCAGGAATTGCCTTGGCTACAGAATTAGCGCATCTGTGGTTGCACCTGCGAGAGCTTTTCAAAGTCAAGGCCAAGAAGCATAATTGTGTCACCATTGTCATATCATCGCAGCCTTCCTCAGACTGTTGAGATATTTACATTCATGAATTTTGTCTATAGTTTTAAGAAATGTATGGAGGTATATTTTAGTTATATCTTATGACTTTATCACATCATTTCAACCAGTTTGCTGAGCTACAGACATACACTCAGCAAACTTCTCAGTCCAGGATAACGTTTAACATGATCATCTTTTAACACTAAGATACAAAGACCCTTGTACTATAATACTAAGTACCCAAATTTTACAAACTAAAAAGCAAATTCAAAATGTAGGTTGAATGTTTTGGCCCATGGAGTTATGTTGCAGGAAACCCGCATTAATGCAGTGTTGCCAAATCTCACGCATCTGACGTGACACTCGCCCTTTCAGACTCTCTTATTCATGCAAAAAATCTTAAGGCAGATCTATATTATTCCATTATAAGCCTAAAATTAGCTACATACAAAGTGTTAGGGCAGTTTCAGGCCCTCCAGACTATTTACCAGGTGACAAAACTCTTACATACAGGTACATGTAAATGTGTGCATTTGTATGTAGACCTGTCTTGAATTGAAAATCTCACTCCACCCAGCTGATCAAAGTCGGCAACCCTGCAAATGTAAATGTGAGAACATACTACATTTTTGTACCTGAGAATAACAGCCATTCTCAGTTTATGGACATGCCGGTGCACATTTCCTATTATTTTCTACATGATACATTAAGCTTGTACTGTAATACTATATGTGCCTCTAGCCCACGCTGAAAAGTCTGTGCAATCTTGAGTTTGTTTATTGAAATATTTATTTCGAATGGCCTAAACACATAAAATACGGCAGTGAATCACGGTGAGTTGATTAATGTTTCATTCTTATTTTATGCATTATATTTTATATTTGTAAGGCCTTTGTAATAATTACAGTGTTATAAGAGAGAAAAACACAATTGAACAATATTCACTAGTCTGAGTTCTTTTTTAAACAAGCTACACTTTTACTCTTCCTTACTAATACTTCAGTGGAAGAGGTTCTTTTACTCATTTTTTGGAAATAACAGTACTTTTATTGAGCGGGGTACTCTTTCCACTGTTGATTTTCAGGCAACAATGGTACATAAACTCCCACCAGAACAGTTAAATAGTCAAGTCAAATAAATGACCCAATGTCAAATACAGCAAGCACACCAAATAGGAAAAAATTTTAAAAATTTCAAAAATCAAACAATACTAGTCAAAAATAGATTTACTAAGAAGACAAAGAAGTTATACATGTACATTGCAAAAAATGTGCAATTCTCACCTGGCCAAGCAAACTCCTCTCACTCTGCTTAAATATGGCGTCCGTCACTTCTCCAAGCTGCAGGATACATCAGGTCACCACAACTGGTGACCATCTATGCCTACTCTCACAGAGTTTCCAGTAAACTGTGCAGGCTAAGTGTTTTTCCCTCAAGAGAAAGTCCTGTGATGGAGACGGAGAATCTTTCTCAAGCCATAGAAAACATCAGCAGGAAGAGAAAGGCCAGCAAAATTACATGGTAGGGAATCCCAGAGTGACAGCAGAAGATTTGAATGTCAACATTCAGAGCACTCACTCCTTTCCCCTGTCATTCTTCTCCAAAGCTGTCTCTGCAGTCCTTGCCAGTGGTGGTCAAAAAGGTGGTGGGGGGTGGCTTATCTGTGACATTATTGCTCCTTGCTGGTGCACGTGGATGGTCTGGGGCAATCCCCCCTCTAAAGGCAGATCACCCCAGGCTCTGATTCACCAAAGACTATTCATGAAGAAGCTCTCCTCCTTGGTCAAAAGGTGGAAGAGAGGGAGGGTACAGAGGACTGCTGAGACCTCCCTGCACATTGTAGGGGACTGTAGACAGACGTCTGTAAACAAAGAAAACCCCATCAACCCCCTTGGACGGACTAAGGGACCATTGAGAAAAACTCTGATGTCACTCAGCAGATAAGGCTCATTTGTGATCTACTATGAAGCGTAAAGCACATGACCTAAGCTTGTCTGGTGTTTCAACACAATAGACTTTTTCAAACCCCTTTGTTATTGCTAATTTTATATTTAGATTCCTGTTTACACACGTTAGAATAATAATAAAAAAAAAACATAACAATGAAAAAACTGAGAGGTATCTGACACGCCGGATCAGACGAGGCTGAAGTATATATGAAAAACAGTAAAATTCCTAATCTCAGTGTTTGCAGTGATGTGTTATATCCAGACATTTACAACTCACTTGCATTAGCTTTAACTTTCTAACATGCAATAAATGCATAGCTTTCTTTTGTCGGACCTATAGAGAATGGAGTGGCATGCCAAGTTTAGGAGGTGATTATGAAAAAATGCTACAGTAAAAATTCACCAAAATAAGTCTACTTACGCTCTGTTCTACTTACTCTAACTTGGTATTGCTAGATTTTTGGGACGTTTTGAAATGAAAGAGAAGGGGCCTCTAGAAATAGCTGAAAAATGCAATCAGACCCATAGAGAATGAAGTGAGATGCCAAGTTTAGGAGGTGATTATTAAAATGCAACAGTGAAAATTTTATCAGAATTATCTAGACGATTGAAATGAAAGAGGAGTAGCCTTCAGAAACTGATATAAAAATAACGTCTTGATGTAGTGTATGCACTGATGCCATGTTTAGGAGTTCATTATTTTACAATGCTGCAGTACATTATTATATAAATCAGCATTTTGGCACTAAGTTACACTCACTCTCATCTACTAATGACAGATTATCTAGACGTTTTAAGATAAAAGAAGAGGAATGTCCTGAAATGAGTTGAGGCCATGTATTCAGTAATTTGTATGTCAATATTGTTTTAAAAAAAAAACGAGTGAAAACTGGCACCTACTGGCGGCACAGCGCTACTTTGCAAGACATTTAAGGCGGAACCGAAATCGCGAATAAGTAGCTGGTGAATAAGGAGCCTGTCACGAGATAGTCTGAGCCACTCCTTAATGTTTTTTTCAACTTCAGCCTCATTCAGACTGGACACCAATGGGTTCTGTAATGCAGACTGAAAAACAGAACGGACATAATTCACTTACATTGACATTTACCACTTAATAAGGTCTAATCATAAACAGGTGTTTAGTTATTCCTTTACGGTGTGATTGTTCACTTTTTATCTGCAGTCTGAAAGAAAAGCAACTTTGGGCATTAAAACCAATGAAAACTATGGGAAATAATTATGTAACGTGCACGGGGAGGTTAAATCCATATTGTGTTTAAACCTTTAGGATAAAAATCCTAAAAGGTCAAATTTTAAACTTTGCTTAAACATTGGTTTTACTTACGGATAATCACATTGACGATGTTTACATTTCTCATCGGTGTTTTGTCCCCTCTGCCACACCAGTTTAAATGAACTGCCAACTGGGGAGCGAACTCCTTTCCACCGATCCTCCAGACTGTTTTCTTTAGTGTTTGACCCCAGCCAGTGACAGTTTGGAAACCTGGAGGTGACAACAGATGTTTGGTCATAGAAAATTTATTACATACTTTTGGGTAGTGTGTGTATGTATATATATATAATATGATATAAGTATATACTGTATTATATTTCTTAGTATCCATGTATTATCTATATATAAGGTAGTTTTCTAAAACCATAACCATACCAGTTTGTTCTTAAATTCAACATTTCCCAACTGCATTTCGATGTTGTTCAGAATCTCAATGTCTTGCAGTGGAAATCCACCATCCTCTGCACACTGAAAAAATAATAGATACTTATAGAAAGACCTGGGTAACAGTGTGCACAAAGATCAGTAAATCTAGTAAGCTACATCACAAAGTATTTTTAAAAATCTCTGTAATTGAGTTAATAGTAATTCATTCAGAAAGGTAATTGGTATGAAATATAAACTTAAATACACCTTGAAACTTTATTATTTAGACTAGGAAAAAAATTAACATTTCCAAAATCAATCTAAAATAATTTAATTGAAATAGATCATAAAGCAATTTTGTACAGTGCACTTGCTGTTGTTAATGGTGTGTCTGCAGGACTGTTACCCAACAAGGGAGGTCTTTGGGTAACAATCCCTGTCAGGTGTTGGACCTGGCTCTGCAACTCCCCCAACATTTGCAGGAGGATCCTCTCTGTTGCTGTAAGGACAACAATAGAGAATACAGTATTAAATATTTAGACATGCATCGAGACAAAATGTAGATGTAGATTTAGATTTGTTTTCAACTTTGTGTGCATTGACTTGGTATAAGCTGCCCTGCGGGTAACCGAGTCCTCGAAGGACCATCTGTAAGAATAAGACCGTAAAAAAAAATTGTGAAAAAAAAGTGATCACAATTACTATCTTGTATTATATTGAAAATTGAAAAGCACAATGGGTCGTATTAAGCTGACGTCATTGTCCAAGGTACGCATAGATGAAAACGAGGCGGCGGCCATTTTACCAGGGTGCAAGTGACAACAGCAGCAAGAAAACTCAGAATCTAAGTTTCTTCTGTATACCTTCAGATCGTACAAATCAAGGCAAAGAGACCGAAGAGCTACAGAAAGGCTACAGAAAACTTGGCTAAGGTCCATCGATCGGAAGAACTTGAACAACGATACTGTCAAGAAGTGGCACGTTCTGTGTTCTGAGAATGGGCAGTATTTCAGTTAAATGCATTAAAAATGTGTATCCATTTCCTTTTGAGCATTTTGTAATTTGTATTTTGTTGGACGGAAAAATCAGATGTATGCTAATTTGAAACAAAATAGATTGATAGGTTGTATTCTGTGTATTTAAAATACTTAATAAAATGCCATCTTAAGAACGTTCATCGCTAGGCTTACAGAATATGAAATACAGCCTATCGCCATCCTTCGCATTATTCCAAGGAAAGAAGCTGCTTTGGTGATCGGCGCAAATTGCCTGTTAGTATATGCAGTAAAATAGGCATATATTGCTGACTGAATGTCAGTATAGGACGATTAGCAAACAGCAGTACTGTGCTCTAGAACTTGTAAATTAACCTAAGGCTAGTGGCATTCTAAATTAAGTTAATTTCAACAGACATGCTCAGGCAGTGTGGCATCTTGTGGTTTGTCATATATGGAAACCTTCATTAGCGATAAATCAGGCTAGCTAGTTTTGTTCCTAAGGACAAAGTTAATTTCTATAATCTAAATGTGGGAGTTTTTATAGCCACAGCTTGTGTAAAAGGGAGAACCGACTGGTAAACTTAACATTGCATATCGCGGGTCCGGTTTGTATTTTTTGATTGTATATCTAAATAACACTTTCTTTGACTTTATGTTCGGGACCCTATTGTAAGACAAAGCTGGGAATTCACGCATTATGATCATTTAAGAAAGCTTTACGGCGCCTCATCGCGCCTGCATTTACACTGTGTGGTAGATTGCTTCCTTCAAATGATACGAAGAAATGCCTCAGTCCCATTTGCCTGAACAAAATACAGCTTTTCATAGTCCTGAGCACTCGCTAAACACTTAGGGTGTGTCCGAAATCGCGCACTTGCACACTTTTAGTGCGCGATTTTAGGGCGTAGTGCGTTCACACTGACAACTAAGCCAAAATTCAGTGCACTGAAAGTACCCAGATGGTGCACTGAAAACGGCCAGAAAACGCAGTGCAGAATGATGGACACTACTCGCACTAAACGGACGCCATTTTGACTACATAGTGGAAGGGGAGGGACTTTCGGCAAGTTTTCATTGTTAAATTAAGATGGACAACAACACAGACACGTGTTACGTGTCGTAAGGGATATGTGCCATAAGTTTCGGGTACGTGCCGTAAGTGTTACATGCCGTAAGTTCAGGAGGATGCCTGCAGGTTCTTCGGATGTCCTGCCCACTCGCCAATTGGTCAACTGCTCCCTCGACTCCGCCCTCTGGACCTGACCCCATCTCCCCATCCGCCCTCTGGACCTGACCCCATCTTTCCGGTTCGTCGGCTGAAGAGATTGCCGCCTCGTCCCTTCGTCTGCCCGCTACTTGCTTCTCGCCTGCTAGCTCGCTCTTCGTTTGCTTTGCCTTTGGTTTGAATGTTTGTGTATGACTGTTTTGTTCTTCACTTCCGATTTTCGCCTCATCCCTTATTGTACCTTCGCCCTGGTTTTGACTGTCTGCTTGGTTTTGAAGTTTCGCTTGTACTCTGACTTTGCCTCTTGGATTTC